TCTGTGAGCTGAGGGGACAGAACCGAGGTCCAGAAAGACCAAGGCAGCTAGTGTTTGCAGGACAGAGGACTGGAGAGGAGAGAGCTGCACAGAGAGAGAACCCAGGAGATGTGCAGAGGGCTGCACTGAGTATTCAGCAGAGCAGTGATCAGCACATGTATGTGAGAAAACTACTTTGAGCCAAGGAAAAAAACCACCTGAAAGATTGTAAGTAACAGTGCCCGTGTTCATGCAGGGCTGGGAATAGAACCTGTTCCCACCAGCCAGATCAGAAAACCTGAGAATTCACAGGGCTCATAATTGGGTAGGAAACCCAGAAGGGTCTCGCCTCCGTAGTAGGGAAATAATTAGCCCTAAACTGAACACTGCCCTAGTCCCACCTAACAAATCTTAAAAGACTCTAAAGAATCAAACAATTTCCAAGTAACTTAATCATGTCCCAGAATGAAATTCAAGAATAATTATAGGGATACCAATCTATCCAGCACCCAAAAGTTAAAATGTCTGGTATCCAATAAAAAATTACCAATGTGCAAAGCAGCAGGAAAATCTGATCTGTAAGAAGGAGAAAAAAAAAATCAATCTACCAAAATTGACTTAGCAGTGACAGATGATAAAATTAACAGGTAAGGGCACTAAAACGGTTATTATAATTTATATTCTATATGTTCAAAAAGTTAAGTAGAGACACGGAAGATATTAAAAAGGAAAAACGGAACAAAGAAGAGTTAGGGCAGATAGAAAAGATATGCTCACACTAATTAAAAGCAAGACTGGCTCTATTAATATTCAAAGTAGATTTTAGAGCAAAGAATATTACCAGAGATAGGGGTCATTTCATAATAACAAAAGGGACAATTCGTCAAGAGGACATAATCCAAAAAAAAAAAAAAAAAACCTAATAACAAAGCCTCATAGTATAAGATTCTGAAATAATTAAAAGCGGTACTCTGTATTACATACATCATGTACAGAAATGACAAAGAGAAGGACTATCCTGAGTGGGTGTGCTTATCCAGGAACAGTTTCCTATAAAACAGAGTCCTAACATGAATGATGAACCATCCATCTGGCTAACTCCTTACCCCAAAAACGAGTCAATCATTCAAATGATGGCGTGACCAGTCTGAAAAGGAGATGCCAGCATCTATGTGACTAATTTAAACAGTCTATTTTAAATATCAGCTTCAGTGCCTGGGAAAACCACTTTCAGAGGTATATACAAGGGACATTTAGCACACATAAAATATAACTACAAAAATAAGAGCCAGTTTTTATCATGAACTTAGTGGAAACCAATTGCCCACTGGTGGTTATGTAATCCTGCTGGATTTAGGCAGGTTATAGCCATGATCTTTTTGGCTTACTAAGGGATCAGGTCTGTCTTTTCTCCAAAGAAATCACGTACTCAGCAGAGTGAGGGAAATCTCTTTTAGAGTAAGAGTGAATAAGTCTTCTGGAAAGCTAAGGTAATTGTGAATAAGTAACTTGGAAAGTATATGGGAAGTCCTTAGTTTAAGACAATCTGGTTAAATTCACCTTTAGAAAAGCAAGGTGGGGCATGTGGCATTCTTGGGAAAGAGTACAAGGGCATTCCATTCTCAGGATGGGGAAGGGAAAAACAACCAAAAAAAAAAGCGCAGCTGGCTCTACCCCAAGGCCCAAGAGGGAGAAAAGGAGTGGTCTGCAAGGAAGGGAGGAGCCCATACTGGGTGAGTCAGCAGCTCAAATGGAATTAGATGGCACACCCCTGTGTAGTATATAAGATGCAGCCAAGGCTGGGGTGAAGTAAGGGACACAGGAAAAAAATCTTAATGTAAGTAAGGTTGAAGCGTCATAGCAATGGGAAGGAGGAGTCCCTAGCAAAGCAAAATGAAAGGCAGTAAAAAAATATTAAAGACTGGGGCAAATTATTTCTCCAAGTGATGTGTTCACAGTAAAGCTCTATGCCTTATCTGTCTTTGGAACAGAATATGCATGCTATGTAAAAATATCATGGGAAATAATAGTTAAAGCTCTGTGCATTTTCACCATTCTCAGGAATGAGAAAGAGCTGCATGAATACTGTCACGCATCCCTGTGTGAGTCTGTGACTCAGTTATATATTTTGCACAATTTCAAGGAGGAAGAGGTAACAAGCCGTACCTCTCCAACATCTTAACATTTTATCTTTAGGTAAAAGAAACATATATTGAAATTATGTTGTTTTACTTTACTTAAACTTTAGTTTCTTAACTTTTTGAACACAGTAGACTCATAAGAAAGACAGTTCCTTTAATCTTTGCCAAGATTATTTCATATCATGATATCATTCCTATGATGAGCTTATTAGATTTAGATGAATTTAACACATGTATTAATAGATTGTACGTTCTCCTGTAAATAATACACTTAAAAACGATCCTTAACACATCTTTTGTCAGATGTGCCCTTACCAGTTGCCTGATGCCTTCGTTTTTCAATTAATAAAGCTACACTATTAAATATAGAACATTTACTCTTATAGGACAAAATGTTCCCCTAAATGCATCTAAGACATAAGGTCTTGAACTTCACTTAGTTAGTATTAATTCCTTCTTTTCAGATGTTGACATACGTTTTCAATTCTGCAAAATGTACAATTATTAATATAAACAATTGTTTCACAAATCATGAAATGAAATTACTAATTTATCTACATATATAATAACCCTCAAGTTACAGGCTGATTTTGCATTCACTGATTGTGAATACAACATTACTTCCTTTTTAATTCAACTATTTCCACTTCCTTTTTAATTCAACTATTTCCACTTATTTCTTACCCATCTAAAACCTAAAAAAATAAAATTTTAAAAAGATACATAAGGAGACAAAACTATTCGACCATAGTTGAGAATACAGCATTTTTTTCTTATTGTCACCCATATTCCTCACCTCTATCATTTTCCCCTTTTTCATATTTTCTTATTTTCCACAATTCTTCTCTACTTTCTTTCCTATTTCCTCTAATCCTCCAACATCTTTTCCTAGGTAACTGGAGATTAGGAAACAAGAGCCTATTAGGAAGCTTCCTGGGTCTGCCTAGGATAAATGCAGTACTCTTTCACATCTCTTATTTCTCTCCTTCTTGTCCTCAAATTCCTTAGTTTTTTCATTTGTCTTTTTTACTTTTTCTTATTCTCTTTTTACCCACTCCATTTTTCAGATAAATCCATAGTTTTTTCCTCACATCTGTTTCTACCTCCATTACTCTTTCTAATTATACCCCTAGAGTCCACCTGAAATACACAGACTAGTAAAAGGTGACCAATCAATATTTTTTATTCTAAAACCATGTTTTCCTATTTAAGCAGGATTAAAGGTATGGCTGTACAGACAGAATATAACCAGCAGTCTTTTCCATGACAAATACAAAGGAACAGATGCCCTTGCCTATCTTTGTGACTTTCCACACTTAGATACTCTGCATTGGTTTTCTACCCCTTTTCTGGCCCCAAACACCAGAGGGATATGACATTCCCATCTCTAACAGCAGTGTGATGTTTAATTTTATGTGTCAACTTGGCTGGGCCATGGTGCCCAGATATTTGGTCAAGCATTATTCTGGATGTTTTTGTGAAGGTGTTTTTTGGATGAGATTAACATTTAAATCAGTGTTGAGTAAAGCAGATTACCCTCCATAATGTGGGTAGGCTTATTTAATCATTTGAAGGCCTTAATAGAACAAAGACTAATCTCCCCCAAATCAGAAGTAATGCTGTCAGCAGACTGCCTTTGGACATGAACTGCAACTGTTCCTTGGGTCTCCAGCCTGCTGGATTTTGGATTTCTAAAGCCTCCACAATCATGTGAGACAATTCCTTAAAATAAATCAATCTCTCTCTCTTCCCCTCCCTCCCAACATCCCATTGGTTTGGTTTCTCTGGAGAAGCCTAATTCAAGTAGCAAAGCTAGCAATCCTCAACTAGAGATGAAAGGGAGGTGGAATCTAAAGAAAGAGCAGAGGGGCTAGGGAGTGACGGACAATTTTGAAAAAGCCTGATGTAGACCTTGTGGCTTACCTACTCAAAAGTCATTCACTAGCCTTCCTCAGCTATAGAGGCTGGAATGTTAAAATGAACTTTCCTGCTTCCCTTGAAGCTAAGGGGTAGCCATGTGACATAGGCCTGACCAAACTTCTTGAGAAAGACTTCTTTCCCCCCAAAAAAAGCCAGAGTTTCACTAGGAGAAAGCACCATGCTCTAACCCATTCTTCCTGCCTAAACTAGTACAAATTCAGATGTAAAAACAGAGCCTGGAAAAGCTGATCTTCAGCTCTGCTACTGCTGTCACGATTCCCCAGTATTCTATACATGACATCAATTCTATTCTAGAATTTGGCTTTTTAGGCCAAACTGTGTTCTGATCTGCTGCAAAAGCTGAGAAACTTATCCTATTTAAGTGTTATTATATACAGAACTTCTGAAAACACATCTTTACTCAGTCTCCACCAGAGGATATGTAAGATCAAACACTGTAATGGGAGGGACTTGGACTAGAAAAATTTCCTGAAAGTAGTGGTTATAAAGCATTGGTAATTATAACCATGAATTACTAAGGAAGGCTGTAGGATATCTTTTAAAAAGGGTCTTTGAAAATATAAATTATTTTATGGCATTCCACTTCAAAGACAGGAGTTAGAATAGTGCAGTACTTTAACATCGTTTGCATTCTGTAATATACTAGTGGATTTAAAAGTTTCCTTCAGTATACTTTTAGATTTGTCACAGCAGAGAACTAAAGTGTGTTAGGCAAAGTCACTGTGTGATAAAACCTTACTAACAAATCATTAAGAAGAAACACACTGGCCAAGTTGATGAAAAATGCAAATAAAATGTCTAAACTACGTAATGAAATTTTAAGTCAACAGTATCTTATCTTTAAGGTTACCAGTGACATACATATGATTTTCTCCATATCTACCTATAAAAATAAAAATCAAGTGCTATCACATAATGACTTCACAATTCTGGGTTTACCTTTTTTTTCACCAGTGTAGGGCACATAGTCTTCCCTGTCCTTATGCTCCAATGCTTCCTTCTCCAGATACGAAAGGAGGTGCTCTCTATCAAAGGGCCCCGTGGCGGTCTTTGATGTCTGGTTCTTTTGCCGGAACCCTGCAGGCAGAAGGGCGTTCTGCCAAAGAAAATGAATCAGACATCATGAACATCAAGATACTAATGCTATATGCTTCCATAGATTACCCCATATAAGAAAGAATTATAGACTAGAATGTGATATAGGCATTAAACATTTTATTGCAGGATTTTAGGGCAGCAATATAAATGTGCTCCAAGAAGTTCTTTTTAATTAGGTAGAATTCATTTATATTATTATTAAAATAGGCATATAATTAGAACATTTTCTAATAGAACATTTGAAGAAAATAGAACATCTTCTTCAGAAAGTATTCTACTAGGAGAAAACACCCTTTAAAGTGTCCTGGGATGGTAATAAAAAATAGTTTTCCTAATACTTAATAACTGCTCAGCATATATGTACAGAGAATAATTCTATTACGAAAGAATGTTAAATGACTATATACATGATATTCCTTCATAATGACTTCTATTTCATCGTACAGACTTTCTTGTGATAAAAACATGGATACCATACAGTAAAATATCAGATTCATGTCGACTTGTTTGCGTTTAAACACATGTGAAACGTTCCACTTTCGTGTGTGTTCACACGTACATACGTGAGCACTAGGATGTACTTGCAACAATTTGCAACAATCACTGTCAGTGTCACACATGTCCAAGGCACCCCTCAGACACTCATAGTCAGAGCTAAGTCCCTGGATTTCCACGTGGGTAGAGCTTTCTTGAGTGAATGGAGTAGGGGGTGGTGGGCTGGAGGGCAATGGATTACAATTGTCTCCTGTAGTCCCCACTCTGAACTTTCACTAAGCCCAGGAATAATAAGCAGTGACCAAAGTGCGCACCATCTGTTTGCTTGTCAAAAGCCAGACAGGTATAATGCCTTGTCTCATATTCCTGGGTGTTCCTTTGCTTTGAAAATAGGAGGCAGCCAGAGAAATCATGCAAAAGGGCCAGCCCTCTTTTGTAACACTTCCCAATAT